AATATTACCATTATTTTTATTGTTTATATAGCATTTTTATGGCTTCCTCAGACACTATATATTTTACTCTGAAAGCAATTCCATGAAGTAGGCATTGCTATTCGCCCCATTTTAAATAAGACAAGCAGCTGAGGGCATAGCTTGCTTAACAAGCACCAGGTCTTGAGTTCAAACCCCAGTATAATACACACACAGTAATAAAAGGAACTTCTTTTTCTTCACAAGGGAGGAAGAGGAGGATCCACAAGACTAACTTGGGTAAGGTCAGTTGAGAATTAAAGCAAAGCTACAAGAGGCCCCAGCAGGACCCTGAATCAAGTCTTCCAATTCAATATCTCTGCTCTGTTCCTTTGGCCACATGACCTTCAAATAGTAGATCCCAAACAACTAATTACATTTTATAATAATACAAGGACGAGGGAGAAATAATATGAATTGGGCATGAGTTGGATCTTGACTGAATTTGAGGGTTTTCAACTGCACATACATGAAGATACACAGGAGGGTGTGGAGCCAGAGGAGCGTTTCAGTGTGTCCATACAAGACAGAGCATGCTGTCTTGCTTTGGAACAAATCTAGTGGAGTAATTAACCTAGCAGAGCTCAGACTATTATCCACATAGTGATGATTCTTTAGTAAGACTCCCTTTTTCTCAAGAGTCTTTTAAAAACTTGATTGTACTAGGCATGTCCTGATACAATAGGGAAAAAATGTATACAGCAAACTGAATATGATATGATCAGTTTAAGAATAGGATTTGTACTGCCATGGTTGGTATGGAGTGTAATTTAATCAACTGATCATAAGTTAATTAAAAATTGAGTTGCTCAATATAGCTGATTAGAGTACAAGGTTGGAGAGACAGTAATACATAATAAGGGAGGGGGAAAAAAGCAAGTCGCTGGTGGATCACACCTATAATCCTAGCTACTCAGGTGGCTGAGATCTGAGGCTCTCAGTTCAAAGCGAAGCCCAGGCAGGAAAGTCCTTGAGATTCTTATCTCCAATTAACCACCAGAAAACCAGAAGGAGTACTGTAGCTTTAAGTATTGTGCAAAAAGAGCTCAGGGCTAGTGCCCAGGCTCCAAGTTCAATCAAGCCCCAGGACAAAAAAAAAAGGGAGTGTGGGGGGGGGGGGAAGCTAGGGGTAATAAAAACTTCTATTTGATCAGTGATGTTTAAGTTTTAAAACCAATCACGCAGGGACTACCCTGGTACCTGAAGGCTACAATCCTAGCTACTTGGGAGGCAGAGGTGAGGACTGGGGCTCCAGGCCAGACCAGGATAAATGTTCTTGACAGTCCATATGTTCATCAGTGGCAGGATGTGGTGGCATGCATCTGTCTCCCAAGCTATGGGGGAAGCGCAATGGCTGGTATTACTGGTGCATACCTGTCATCCTAGAGACTTGGGGAAGTTGCACAAATAGGAGGCTAACAGTCCAGGCTAGGCCCCCTGCGCAAAGTGAGACCCTATCTCAAAAATATCCAACACATTGCAAGTGCTGATAGCTCATGCCTATAATCCTAGCTATACAAGAGCCTGAAATCTGAAGGAATGAGGTTCAAGGCCAGCCTAAGCCGAAAAGTCCAAGAGACTTCATCTTCAAAGTAATCAACGAAAAGCTGGGCTAGAGTCATGGCTCAGGTAGTATAATACCAGCCAAGCAAGCAAGCAAGCTGAGCAAGTAAGAGCCCTGAAGTTCAAACTCTAGTACTGAGGGAAAAACAAAAGGAAAGAAAAAGACCAACACAAAGAGGTGCTGGTGGAGTGGCTCAAGTGGTAAAATTCCCGTTTAGTAAGAGTGAAGACCAGAATTCAAACTCCTAGTACTGCCCAAAGTTAAAAGTTAAAAAGTAAGGAGTAAAATCAGCCAGGCACTGTTGCTCACACCTGTAATCCTAGCCACTCAGGAGGCTGAAATCTGAGGATCATGGTTCAAACCCAACCCCAGGCAGAAAAGTCTGTGAGACTCTTATCTCCAATAAACCACTCAAAAACCAGAAGTGGCTCAAAGTGGTAGAGCCTTAAGCAAGAGCTCAGGGACAGCACCCAGGCCCTGAGTTCAAGCCTTACAACTGACAAAAAAAAAAAAAAGAGTAGAACCAATTACAATTATAAAACTCTAATATCTAAAGTAGTTCATTAAAGCCAACTTTGATTAAGTTTGAAACTCTTGTCTCTGAGTCCTTTCTCTCCCTGTTAAAAACAATTGTTTTATGGTGCGAGTACTCTGGGAGAGAATCAAGGTGGTACACAGACGCAAATGGTGAGGAAGAAGCCTAAAAAGGCAGAGCCAGTTTTACTTTTGTAACAGACCTATTGGAGGAAGACTGCATTCGAGCATTAATCCATTAATGGATTAATCCATTCTGCTCAGGACTTAATAGCCTCTTAAAGCTTCCACCTCTTAATAACTCACAATGGGGATTAAATTTCAACACGAGTTTTAGTGAAAACATCCTAATCATAGAATCCAAATCCCAAACTGAAAATCCCCAAATAAAAACAGTTAAAATAAATAAAGTAGGGCCTGCTTAACAAGAGCAAGGTCCGGAGTTCAAAATCCAGTACTGCCAAAGTAATAAATAAATAATAAATACATAAATATCTGACTATCTGGTTTTTTTTTTTTTTTTTTTTGGTCTGGTCGTGCCTGAACTCTGGGCCGGTGCGCTGTCCCTCAGCTCTTCAGCTCAAGGCTAGCACTCTACCACTTGAGCCACAGCACCACTTCCGGCTTTTTTCTTATGTGGTGCTGAGGAATTGAACCCAGGGCCTCATGCATGCAAGGCAAGCACTCTACCACTGAGCCACCTTCCCAGCCCCAATATCTGACTATCTGAAAACTTACTTTTCCACAGCATTTTTCCAAGTCATTACATTTAGGCATTAGTTTCAAAAACCTGGTAAATTGTTTGTTTTATAAATTTTCACTTAAAAAAAAATCTTATCTTCAAGATACAGTACGATTGTAGCTATGGGAAAAACCCTACCTGTGCACAGACAAAATTACAGGAAGGAAATTTACTAAACTGTATCTTCCATTATTTTTAAAATTCTATTTTCAAAATAGTAATATGGAGTTTAGATTTTTATTCTGAAAATTATTTGTCAAAATTCTTCCTTCCTTAAATATATATATACACATATATACATATACCTACACACATATCTACTATATATAGCATATATATACACTAATATACACTATATAGCATACTATACAGTATATACTATATAGCACATATATAGCACATAGTGAATAGTGTACAGTATTTATAGTGTATAGTGTGTATATAGTATACACCATATATATATGTATATATGTATATGTTACTGTAATGAATTTTTTAAGGCTAGGCCTGCTAGTGTATGCCTATAATCCCAGCATTTGGAAGGCTGAGACAGATTGTGAGCTCTAGGCAGGTTTGAGCTACACAGTGAAACCTTATCTCAAAAAACAAGAAAAAGAGTTGGGGTGGGCAGGGATGCTTCAGAAGCTTTGCTTACAATAGGTGCAGGAATTTCCCATGAATCACCCAGATCATCCTGGGGAATTATGCACCTCTTGCATACCTCTGACAATGATCAGTAAACACATAAATAGCTTGTGTTTTCTTTGCTGCACTTATGTGGCCAATCTAAGTTCCTCACCCAGGGCGTTGAATGGGTACTTCTACTTCCCTTTAGCCTGTCTAGTTTGGTAAACACATACCCACAAGTCCCAATCCCCTATCATGGTCTTCCTACCCCTTTTCTTACTTTCTCTTATAAAATATTTTTTCCACTCTGATTAAAACATCTCATATATACCCTCTGTGATGTTTTGTTTTGTTTTGCTTTTTGGTCCGGTCGTGGGGCCTGAACTCTGGGCCTGGGCGCTGTCCCTCAGCTCTTCAGCTCAAGGCTAGCGCTCTACCACTTGAGCCACAGCGCCACTTCTGGCTTTTTCTGCTTATGTGGTGCTGAGGAATGGAACCCAGGGCCTCATGCATGCAAGGCAAGCGCTCTACCACTGAGCCAACTTCCCAGCCCCCTCTGTGATATTTTTAATTCATTAGAATATTTTTTGCAACATTTTAAAACAATTTATTACAAAAGGTCACAAATGGAGTCAAAGATTTTGTAGTAAAGTTAGAGATTTTTTTTTTTTTTTACCACAAAATGCCATTAAAAACTACCTTTAATTAAGGTCTCTCTCCCCACATCCCCTGAGCTAATTGGACATCTTTGGGCATGACGGTTTCCTCCCTTGGCATGGATGGCACACGGATTAGCAGCTTCAAACACACACACAGGTGTGTTCACGAGGATCCTGGCTGCACTTTCTTCAAATATTTAAAAAAGAAGTCACGATCAGTCATGAGGAGTCTATCTGTGTAAACAGTGCTTTTCTTACACAAAGGCTTTTGTCTCCTACATGTCTCCTAAATTGACATCATAGCCCCAGACTGGAAAGTCTGTCAACTTTATTTTTAATAATCTACAGCATAATTCATCATTTCAACATGCCTTGTTTTTCTTCAAGATGCAAAGCTCTCTGGGCAGTAATGAGCCTCATCTGTAACCATTTGTCCATTACCTTCCTCAGGGATGCTGTCTTTTGGGCCTTCCCATCCCAGTGCTGACACTCTTGGTCCATGCTAGACTGATCTGGTTAAGAATGAAGGGATGGAGGTGCAAAAGGGCAGACACAAGCCGAGCTTTCCTTCCAAATAACTTGAGTCTCCCCAGCTTACAAGGGAGATCACAGAAACAAATCCCCTCCACAAGTGTAAAGGCTTAAAGCAGAAGCTCCTTTCCTTAAGCTAAAATGTACCCTTAACAACGGGAAATTTCAGAGTAGGATTGGGAGGAGGAGGAAGTGATAGCTCCACCCAATTCCAGGATGGAAGGAAAGTTTCTAGTAGGACGGCTCTAAACGCTCAGAGAGGCTATTAGTAATGGAATTCTGAGGCTGACTAGCTCAGGGCTCGGCCATCGGGAGAAGGAGGGAGATGGATCCTGGTGAGTACTGGGGACACAGGAAAGGGGCAGCAGAGGTGATACTGATATGACAGTTCATGGTTTATTGTATAATCCAGCTCCTGCCTCCTGGTTCTCCACCTTCATTTGGACCTTGGGGCATAGAACATACAGATGTTCGTTTTCTTTCCTGAAGCTGAAATTTGGGGCAATAATGGCCTTGGGTAATCTGAGGAGGTCCCTAAAGACTTTAGATAGACACTCCCAATTTCCTATTGGAAAGCACAATGAAACCATTTGCTTCCAGATAGTGCTGCGTTATATAAAGTTGTTTTATAAAAATAAGATTATATATTACACATGTATTATGTGGTATATAAGACATTATATAAGATATATATTAAAAAATAAAAAAATAAAAAAGATATATATTATATTACGCATTACTTAAAATTTTGATTTTTAAAAATCTTAGTGATATCAGTATGTACTAGTTTATCAAAAATTGGAAATAAAGGGCTGGGAAGGTGGCTCAGTGGTAGAGCACTTGCCTTGCATGCCTGAGGGCCTGGGTTTGATTCCTCAGCACCCCATAAGCAAAAAAAAAAGCCGGAAGTGGCACTATGGCTCAAGTGGTAGAGCACCAGTCTTGAGCTGAAGAGCTGAGGGACAGCGCCCAGGCCCAGAGTTCAGGCCCACAACCGGACCCCTCCCCCGAAAAAAAAGAAAATTGGCTGTCTCCTTTGATAGAATTTTGCACATGTGTGAAAATATTTTCATGTGGAAAATTTCTAAGAGTAACTGTTGGATCAAAGGTCACCTCCACTTTACTTTTTTTTTTTTTTTTTGGTCAGCCGTGGGGCTGGAACTCTGGGCCTGAGCACTGTCCCTCAGCTCTTCAGCTTAAGGCGAGTATTCTACCACTTGAGCTACAGTGTCACTTCTGGTTTTCTGGTGGTTTATTGAAGATAAGAGTCTCACATACTTTCCTGCCGAGGCTGGCTTTGAACCTCGATCCTCAGATCTCAGCTTCCTGAGTAGCTAGGATTATAGGCGTGAGCCACTAGTACCCGGCTTCCACTTTACATTTCGATGGATAGCAACTTATTTCTTAAAAGTTTATGTGAATCAGACTCTATCAGGATATGACAGTCCATTTCCAAATACCCTCAAACAACATAGGTTGTTGTTATCTTCTTGATATCTCATTGGGTAGTTATAGGTAGGGGCAGGAAGATACTGTGCACTTAAAGCCTGGAGCTTAGTAGCCTAATATGGATATAGAAGCATTGCTGCAGGGACTGAGGTATTTCTGTTTTCTGAAATGCTTGGAAAGGATTTCAGGAAGGAGATGGATGCAAAGTTTGGCTGGAAGAACTGGTACGAAGGAGACTTAGATATTAAGGAAGGGGCAGGAGCCATCCACCTAGCTGTGGTCATGCTCTATTTGGAGGCCACGATATGGAGGACATGTTCGAACCATACTCTGGAAGGCTTTGATTTCTCAGCTTAAGGATTTGGGTTTGAAATTTTGTTTTAAGACGTTTTTATTCTTGCATAGTTGAAAGAAGTATAGAATAGGACAGTAAACTTAGCACACACACACACACACACACACACACACACACACACATATATATATGCATACCTATATATGAATATATATTTATAAATTTTTAAGAGGGAAGAAGCAAAAGCGTGAAATATTTGTTAAAGTCCTCACATTGACACTAATACTGAGAAGCGGACAAAGAAAAGTAGATTAACTAGAAGAGAAGGGACTGAGCCCACCTGGCATTTGGTGGCAGGAATCACTTCTCTCTGCCGGCTGGGCTGCATGTACCTTACCCTTTGCTGTCTTCATCGGGAGGGATCTAGGCATTGGCAGTGGACCCCTTTACCTGGCCTGGGTCTTCATCCATACTCGCTGGCATCTCTACAAGTCAAGACATTCCAATGCAGAGCCATCAGCCTGCTGCATGTAGTAGGGTGGTCCCGCCTTTCCTCTTACCCACACCTGTATTTAAGTCCTCATTAGTCTTTGCCTTAGATGGTTGCAACAGAACTCTCTCAGCTCTCCCCACCTTTGTTCTTTTTTCCCCTCCGGTCTAGGCTAAACAACCACAGCCAAATTAATCCTCAAGTGTGGCTTCTATGTTGCCTCACCTGCTCAGAAACCTGTCTTTAATCAAAGTAACACTTTCTCCTAACTACAAAAGGAAGACATGTCCAAACACTGAAAAACTTCAAGACACCTGTCCCACAACTCCACTGCCTAAAGAGAATCTGCAACATGCTGGGTTTCAGTCACTTTTACTTTTTGCTTTTTAATATCTAGGGAGCCGATTTCCCTCTAGGATCTAGAGAGTGTTTTTCCTCTATAGTCTTTGTTTTGTTGTTGTTCTTCCTCTTGGTGTCCTCTTTGCTGATAACATCAGATGAAAGAAATAAGGTTTAATATCCAACTGTGATTGAAGGATATTTAAGTCACACCGAAAATCCTTATGCTTATATTTTTGTCTACCACTGATCATCTTTTTTTTTTTTTAATTTTTTTTGGGTCCGGTTGTGGGGCCTGAACTCTGGGCCTGGGCACTGTCCCTCAGCTCTTCAGCTCAAGGCTAGCGCTCTACCACTTGAGCCACAATGCCACTTCGGCTTTTTTCTTTTTGCTTATGTGGTGCTGAGGAATCAAACCCAGGGCCTCAGGCATGCAAGACAAGCGTTCTACCACTGAGCCACCTTCCCAGCCCTGATCATCTTATTTTTAAAAGAATCCTAGAAGAGGAATTTACAGGTCAACATTTGGATCGCTCCTTGGCCTTGATGTACACATACTCAGCAAAGATCCCGGGAGAGGCTCCAGGGAAGGCAGGGACCTGTGGACGTTAGGAGGGCAGTCTCTGGAGCCAGCCTGGCTGGCTTGAGTCCTAGCTCTGCCCAGTACCCTCTGCATGTGGGGAGCAGTATTAATACTCCATCATAAGCCAAGCACTGATGACTCATACTTGGGAGACAGAGGTCAAGAGGCTAGTCTGGGCAATAAAAAAAACCAACTCTGTTACACCATCTCCAAGAAAGAAGTTGGACACGGTATGTATGCCTGTCATACCAGCTACAATGGAAGCATAAAACATAGGCAGATTGCATTCCAGGCTCAAAGTAATCAGTACCCAAAACAGGACTGAGGTATGGTGGCTCAGCAGTAGAATACATTCTCACCAAACGTGAGGGCTTGAGTTAACACTCCAGCACTGAAGGACACATGCATGCACGCACACACATACACAACAGAGAGAGTTATGAGAATATAAACCATTTCAGATATTTAAAAAATGCTCTTGCAACTGACCATAAACATAATCCATACTTTTCTGAAATTAGGTATTATGCTTTGTTCTTGCATGAGGGAATCTGGGTTCAGGAAGATGACAGAAGGCTAGCTCTAGATGTTATTCAATGCTCTGTGGAAAATAGAGAAACTGACAGACAGTAACCAAGAAAGAAAACCTCCATGGGATGGCTGCCTCCAAGACCAGACCCAAACAGGTACATGGAGCCATGCATAAGCGCAGAATTGTCTCAGGCTTTAGTTTCTCAAAAGACAGGCATTTCATTTCTCAGAATTCCTTACATGTAAATGGCTGTCTTAATGTCTTTTTTTTTTGTAAGGCTGATAATACATTCGGATATAACTTGATCCTTTTATTACTTGTGTCTTTGTATTAGTCAGACAAGTGCCAGGAGTCTTGTATCTGGAGCTTACCTTTTCTCCTACTTATGTCATTAACTTCAGTGGGACCACAGCCAAGTCAGGTCTTGTGGGTGCTGACATGTTTTATCTGTTGTTGTTTTTTTAATTGATTCTGCTGAATTTCCTGCATTGTTGAATCTCTTCTTGATTCTCTTGGCTCTTCTTTCTGGCTTCCTTGGGAGCCTTTCCTTTTATGCTCATGTCTCCTTGACACAAAAAGCCCTTTCGTGAGCCAAATGCATAATTATATTAAGTGGGATGAAAAAAAAAACATCTAAGTGTCCAATGGAGGACGAATTGCATCATGACCTGCAACTTTGGGCACAGAAAGAAAGACATCTTCCCTCTTCTTCCTCCTTTGCTTCCCAAACGGGAAGAATCCTGGGTAAAAGGATACACTGCGCTGGTTGCACTTAGGAGCTATGCTGGTAGGGATTATGCTGTTTCTAGCATCCAGGAAAGTTGTCCCACCCCTGTTAGGGCTTCTAGATATTTCTCACTACCTCTTTGTGCTACATGAGCTCTCAGGGTGGTGGACCTCTAGGAGGTATTATCTTTGTAAGAAGATTGATCCTATCCTTTCCTTTCTTTTTTTTGCCATACTAGGGCTTGAACTCAGATCTTTATGCTCTTGCTTAACTTCCTTGTGCACAGTGGGCATTCTACCACTTGAGTCATACCTTCAGCCTGGCCTTTTGCTGGTTAATTGGGGACGAGGTCTCACAGACTTTTCTTCCCACACGAGCTTTGACCCATGATCCTCCAGGTCTCAAGAGCTACCAGTGTCTAACTCTTACTAAATCTTGAAGATTAAAGGTTGACATTGAAGGAGAAAATTCACACAGTCACAGTATACACCAAGCTTGAAAAACCGTCCTGCATCCAGGTTCTGGTGGCTCACCCCTGTAATCCTAGCTACACAGATAGATTCAAAATACTCAGTAATGTTCAATACAACTCCGTTCTTAAGCACAAGATAACATTTAACAAAAACAATTGAAATCAAATGCAAATATAGGAGCACAACCCCTTAAATCTGTCATTTTAAGTGCACCTTCACCATATAGTCAAAGTTATACAAGAATTTGAAGGATTGAAGTCTTCCATGACATTTCAAATAGTTTCCTGAACCAGGCACTGGTGGGTCATGCCTTTAATCCTAGCCGAGACCTGAGGATCGCAGTTCAAAGCCAGCCCACGCAGGAAAGTCTGTGGCACTCTTATCTCCAATTAACCACCAGAAAACCGAAGTGGCACTGTAGTTCAAAATGACAGAACACTAGCCTTGAGCAAAAATGCTAAAGGGTAGCACCCAAGCCCCTAGTTTAAGCCACATGACAGAAAAAAAAAAAAAAAAAAGCTTCTTGTCTCAGTTGGGCATGAGGAGAGAGTGAGAGTAATTGAGTATCAGCATTTGGGCAGCTAGGCAGCAAATCTAAATCTGCAGCAACCACCCCATCTGCTGTCTTCACAGGCTGATGGCCAAATGCTTACAATTTTTTTTCTGGAGTACCAGGATCTGAACTCAGAGCTTTGCCCTTGCTAAGCAGCCCTGGTTACTGCTTGATCCATTCCACCGGTCCCATGCACCAGCTAAAACTTCTTGCCTATAAACAGTAGCAATACCATGAGTTGTCATGAGTAGTGTGTTCAGTAGTTGTTGCCTTTGACTATTTTAATTCTGGATAAACTCATTTCTATTACTTATTACTATGCCACAGGATGACAGAGTAGCTTTCAGGAATCTAGTAGCATTTTGCTCTGGTATGGTGTCGCAGGTCCAAGCATGGATGTCACCAGGATCGAGGTACTCAGGGTCTCCTAACCAGGATCTGGTGACTTGCCCCATGAGAGAGAGAGTCAGACAATTAGGAGACAAGGAGGCAGAAGAACTAGTACAGGAGAGACAGAAACAACTTAGGAGTTGTGAGTATGCCAGTCAGTCACAGCTGGGCAGTGGTCTGTCTTGCCTCTCTCCTAGTGGCAGACTTGGAGCTCCGATCTGTGGACCTGCAGACTCCCAAGAACAACAAGGACCACCACACGCAGGAAATGGGCGTGAAGCATCTCATCCTGCGCAGAGGCCAGGCCTTCAACATAAGGCTAAATTTCAACCGACCCTTCCAGCCTCGGAAGGACCACATCACCTTTGTGGCTGAGACTGGTGAGCTTTTCCTACCCCCAGGGACCTCTATGGGTTCCCCTAAAATAGAAAGTTCCTTTGCAGCCCTTCCCTCCCCTCTTCCGCCCTTGCTGGTACTGGAGCTTGAACTCAGGGCCTCGCTTCATTTGCATCTTTAATTGGAGATATGAGTCTGCAGATTCGGGTGCCCAAGCTGGCTTTGAGGCTTTGAATCAGGGTCCTTTGATCTGTTTCCTTGGCTAGGATGATAATAAGTGTGGTACTTAGCTTTGTTGTTGTTGTTTTTCTCCTTGAGACAGGGTCTTGCTATGTAAACCCAGCCTCACCCTGAATTTGCGATCTTCCTACCTCAGCCTCCCGAGTGCTAGGATTACAAGCCTTCCATGCCCAGCTGCCCTGTTCCTCCTTTCTGAAGCTTTTTCCCTCTCCTCTCCTGGGGTGCCTCGGACCCTCACGCTCTCACGCTGAGTACTCTGTTGGTGCTGTTAGGAATGATTTGGCAGCTCAGCAATCTGTACCTGTGACTATGACAGCCAACCTTTTTTATTTTTATTTTGGTTGGTTGTGGGGCTTGAACTCAGGGCCTGGGCACGGTCCCTAAGCTCTCTGGCTAAAGGCTAGCACTCTACCACTTTGAGCCAGAGTGCCACTTGTGGTTTTCTGGTGGTTAATTGGAGTTAAGAGTCTCACAGGCTTTCCTGCCTGAACTGGCTCTGAACCAGAATCCTGAGATCTCAGCCTCCTGAGTAGCTAGGATTACAGGTATGAGCCACCTGTACCCTGTTTATAATGGCCAACCTTTAAGTCCACAGGGACTGTGCTACAACTTCACACACATACTATCCCATTCATCCCCTGTGATAGGCTTTGAGATGGGCACTATTGTGAACCCCATTTATAGATTAAACCAACAAATAAAACACAGCCCCAAGATCATAGGTGGTTTTCCTGAGAAACAATAAAACCCCCAGCCATAAAGACGAGCAAGATGTGGGGGGAATGTGGGTAAGCTTTAGGCCTTGCAGAAATCATGTGATACATAGATTTTTAAGCCTCCTTCTGGGGTCATTCTCTCCTACCCAGGACCCAAGCCCACGGAGCTGCTAGGGACACAAGCTATATTCTCATTCAACCAGACCCAGACCCAGCATGGCAATGTCTGGAGTACTTCTGACTTCATCTTGGACTCCAACTCTCTCCAAGTCTCCATTTTCTCATCGGCCAGTGCAGTTATTGGCCACTACATGCTGAAGCTAGAGATCTCTCAGGGCCAGGGTCATAGTGCAACTTACCCAGTAGGGGCTTTCATCCTGCTTTTTAATCCCTGGAGTCCAGGTAAGGCCTGCTCCTGGCAGTAATGCTAACCGCATCCATCGAGAATGTTCTGTGAGGTTCTTCTGAGAAAATCCCAGAAGATAAACCACTGCATATCTATGTAATAAGTTGTTGTGTGCTCTCATGAAAAATACCATTTTTTTTCTTTATGACACAGGGTCTTATTATTTAAGTCCAGGCTGTTCTTAAACTCAATCTTCCTGCCTCAGCCTTCCTGAGTGCTCGGATTATATGCAGGTGCTGCAATGCCCAGCTCTAAACCTAAAATAAAGAATTTAAAAAGAATCCAAAAACATAGAATTTTTTTTTTTTGGTCCCGTCGTGGGGCCTGAACTCTGGGCCTGGGCGCTGTCCCTCAGCTCTTCAGCTCAAGGCTAGCACTCTACCACTTGAGCCACAGCGCTACTTCCGGCTTTTTTTTCTTATGTGGTACTGAGGAATCGAACCCAGGGCCTCATGCATGCAAGGCAAGTGCTCTACCACTGAGCCACCTTCCCAGCCCTGTATTTTATTTTATTTTTTATTTTATTTTGGGTCCGGTCGTGGGGCCTGAACTCTGGGCCTGGGCGTTGTCCCTCAGCTCTTCAGCTCAAGGCAAGCGCTCTACCACTGAGCCAACTTCCCAGCCCCAAAGAATTTTTTTTCCCAAAGAATTTTTTTAATGGCATGATAAAAATATGCACCGTGTGATGTTAAAAAATAATTTAGCAGATGGCACATAATCTTGGTTCTAATTATATTTAACTTACAGTTCATATTTTTTAAAGTATAGATTTCCAACAAATTTATGGTAGACTTTGAAGGAGTCAGTCTTAGTATCTGCTGCCATTAATTCACTGGCTATAGTTCTAGTTGCCTAAAATACTGTTATTACTGGATTTTAATTTTATTGCTCTGTTTTTTGTTTTTCCGGTTTGGGGATTTACTCCATCTGCTACTCTTTACCACTCAGAGGACGATGTCTACCTACCAAGTGAAATACTGTTACAGGAGTATATTATGAGTGATTATGGCTTTGTTTACAAGGGCAATAAAAGTGCTATTACCTCCTGGCCCTGGAACTATGGTCAGGTAACACTATCACCTCAAGGTGGGCCTGGGGTGGGATTGTTAAAGCTGGTCCTGGGACAACTGTTAGCTTATGAAGGACAGGGAACAAAGAACACAGCGTGAATTCCGGGGCCCATTTTTCCCCCAGTGAGAGAAGCAAGGAAAGGAGATGCTTTTCCTTTTTAGCAATTGATGTTTCATTATGAAAGGCTTAAAATAACCCCAAAGTAGACTGGCCTCTAACATGAACCTTCACGTGCTCATTTCTCAGCTTCAATAGTGACTAATTGATTATGTCTTCCTTCATCCATTTCAGGGGATTGCAAATGGTAACTAATGGACCAGATATTACCTACTGCCTTTAAAAAATACGTGTGTAGGGAGGTAAGGCTAGTTTGACACAGGGCTGGCCATGAACCAGCCATCCTCCTTCCTTCCTCTGCCTTCCAAGTGCTGGAATTCTGCCTGTTTTCATAAGTCTCACTAAGGGGACTTATGAGAATGGTCCTCACATTTTAAAATATTATTCTTTTGAAAGAAAGTTTCAAAATGAATATCTTGTGTATATGAATATCTAGGTGTATGGTCTATCACTTTTATAATCCCAGGTTCACAAGATGCATAGGTAGGAAGATCACAATCCAGGCCATCCTAGGCAAAATTTAGGCCCTTACCTGTTTTTGTGTTTTGTTTTTTTTTTTAAAGACTAAAGGCAAAAAAAGACAAGGAGTATTACCCAAGTAGTAAGAGCATCTGCCTAGCAAATGCATGAGTCTGAGTTCAAATCCTATTACCACCCAAAAAAAATGAATATTTTGTAACATTAGTGATTATATGAAGTATGAATTTCAGGGTCTATAAATAACATTTTAATGCAAAACAGCCATGCTTATCTATTGAAATATCTATGTCTGCTTTCATGCTCTAACGGCTGGGACAGAGCCTGTGGCCAAGTAAGATCTGCCCTCTACAGGAAAAGAGTGGCCAGGCCCTGCATTCCCCATTTCCCCTCCCCACCACTAGAATTTCTGAAGGTACCATATTGCTTAATCCAATAACACATCCAAAGATGGATAGTAGCTCCAAAAGATGATGAGTTTTTGTGAAAAACGTAACCAAAGTACTTGACTGTAACTGAAAAAAAAAAGTGAGTGGTAGGGTTCTACAATAAAGAGCAAATAGTCATTTAATGCACAGAGGGAACTCGGGCCCTGGACAGCTTTTCATTTCTCATCCACCGACCACAGCTAATGTGGTTTCTTTCCTACTATAGTCAAAAGCCTCAGGTAAATGTCCCCAGAGTCTCTTCTTGTCTACCCTCTCTTTCCAAATATGGTAGGTTTGAAACCCTCCCTTGATCTTTTCAGCCAACAGAGATCACTTACTCTCTAAAAATTCTTTTGCCTTTTCTGTTGGAACTACACAGGTTTTTTGTTTTTGTCAGTCATGGGGCCTGAACTCTGGGCCTGGGCGCTGTCCCTGAGCTCTTCAGTTCAAGGCTAGCGCTCTACCACTTGAGCCACAGCACCACTTTCTGGCTTTTTCTGCTTATGTGGTGCTGAGGAATCGAACCCAAGGCCTCATGCATGCAAGGCAAGTACTCTACCACTAAGCCACTTTCCTAGCCCCAGAACTACAGTTTTGCATCCCAACAAAAAGAAGTCCATTGAGGTCTCTCCCCGCCACCCCGACCCGGCCACACACATGCACACCATCCCTGAGAGTCAGTTAAGAGAGTTAAAGTTTCAGAATTCTATCCATTTTTTGCTCTTCTCTGTTCTCCCTCGGGATGTCTTGGAAGTTTGAAGAGGGCATCCTAGACATCTGCTTTGAGATCCTGAACAAGAGTCTGTATTTCTTAATGAACCCATCCAAGGACTGTTCTCAGCGGAACAACGTGGTGTACGTGTGCAGGGTGGTGAGCGCCATGGTAAGGACCGAAGGTTCTGAGCCCTGGCTGAGGACAGCCTGAGCCCCCCGCCTCACCCACCTGCCTCTCCTCCACAGATCAACAGCAACGACGACAATGGGGTGCTGCAGGGGAACTGGGGAGAAGACTACTCCACGGGCATCAGCCCGCTGGAGTGGAACGGCAGTGTGGCCATCCTGCGACAGTGGTCAGCTAGTGGCGGGCAACCGGTGAAGTATGGACAGTGCTGGGTCTTTGCCTCTGTGATGTGTACTGGTGAGTGAAGAATCGCCCTGAGGAGATCATGAAGGTTGCCCTGACCTTCAGCCAGGGGTGGCCAGGGAGCAGGCGCTTAACCTGCACGCTATACAGTCTTGGGGGAGAGGGGGGTGCAATCACTCCGCTAGTTTCCACCCTGGGGGAGAGCTGCTTGTAATCCTAAAGCAGAAGTTGCCTTGTTGACTAGCCTTGAGAAGCATGGGTGTCATCAGTTATTTACAGTTGAGCACCAAGTCGTTGGTCCTGCTATCTGGAAGATGGAAGAGATGGGTGGAGGAAGATGGGTGCTGGGATGCTTCCTGTCTCCCCCAAGGCAAAGCCAGAGGACCCTCCCCCGGCCCCTGCCAGGGTGCCCAGACACCTCATGGGGTCAGTCAGTGTCCATCTGACTGACAGGTTAACTCATGATGGGGAGGACAGAGACAGGGGCCAACGCTCTAGGCTTTTCTGAGAGGGGCAACACAGCCTGGCAGTTAGATTCAATGCTACAGAGGAGAGTGAGCCTTGAGTAATTAAATGTAAGTGTTCAAATCAAGTGATCTCATTTGTTTACTTGTGAAATGGGCTGAGACTACTGTATTGCTCCTAGCATTCCCGGTCCTGCTGTGGGCTGGGAAGTCCATGTGGTGACCAGGTAGGCATTGTACAGGTGACCTTGGGTCTTCAGGGTCAAAAGTTCATGATACTGCTCCTTCCAAGGAACCTCAGCGAACTGAAACAATTCTCTCTTTTTGGTGATCCTAAGGTTTGGAACTCAGGACCTCACATTCGCTAAACAGATGTGCTACCACTTGGAGCCACACTCCTAGTCCTGGTTTTTGCTGGTTATTTTGAAGATGGGGGTCTAGAGAACTTTTCTCTTTTAATTGTATTTTTCTTATCCTTAAGTAGTTGTACAAGTTCAACAAGTCAGTTTATAAGTCAAATGTATCTTGATCGATGTCATCCCTTTCATCATTTAGAACACTTTTCTTCAGATCCTAGCCTCTTGAATAGCTAGGACTCTAGGCCTGAGCCACCAGCAATCAGCAATTGTCATAGTTGATAATCCTTTTACTTCCCAAAGCACTGTAATGCTCCCGGCCTATGGGAGTAGATTCCCGGTCTGCCTTGCAAGTGGGGTGGGCTGTCTCTGACTTGCTACTTACACACTGATAGAGGCAGGGACCTCTGTTCCCAGGGTGCATCAGCTCTTGGCTTGATTCCATCTGTGTCAAGTGAGGGGATGGTGGTGGTGGTAGTGGTGGTGACAGTGGTGGTAGTATGTGTGTTCCTGGCAGAGTTGTAAAGTCTGATTTGTGTGACTACACCTGTGAAATCGTAACTCCGCTTTCTAAAAAGCCATTGTAGGCACAAGAGGGCGCTGCTGCCTTTTCAAAAATCTTCTTCTACCTCACTGAATCTCCAGTAACATTCATTTTATCTCTAGAATGCGTTGCCCTTCTATTCATTCTCTAATTGTCTTCTTTTTCTAAGCTCTGGTTTTCAAGTAGGACTTCAGGACTGAAAGATTATATAGTCCAATTCTTCCTTGTGTTACACACAAGGAGACAAACTCAGAAAAGTTAAGCCAATTAACTCAAGAATTAGAATTTTAGGCCAGGTGCTGGTGGCTCATGCCTGTAATCCTAGCTACTGAGGAGGCTGAGATCTGAGGATCACGGTTCAAAGCCAGTTTGGGCAGGAAAGTCCAATTTTATCTGCAGTAAACCAACAGAAGTAGTGTTGTGGCTCAAGTGGTAGAGCGCTATCCTTGAGCTGAAGAGCTCAGGGTCAGAGCCCAGGCCCAGAGTTCAAATCCCATGACCAACCATAACAAGAAAAAGAATTAGAATTTTAAAAATTCTAATTAACAAATGTTTTAGGATCTCTCTCTCCCCCTTTCCCTCTCCCCCCTCACCCTCTCTCTCACACATGCACACACATTTAACCTGAAAGCTGCTGAGTAGGAAAAGTCCTAAATGATAACTTGGGCGAATTACTGTTTTAAGCGATTGTCAAATGATTTTTGCCTTTTGGTGAGTGGATACCATGGACAACAGGATTCTATCTGTGCTCTGGGAATAAAGGCATTACAGGCATGGATCTAAAAGGATCTTCCACCAACGTGAAAGTTACAAGTTATGCATGGAAAATAATTCTGCTCGAAATCAGCTCACTGATCCTTCTTTTTCTTCTCAACAGTAATGCGATGCTTAGGTGTTCCAACGCGAGTGGTTTCCAATTTCCGCTCTGCACACAGCATGGATGGAAATTTGACCATCGACACCTACTATGATCAGAATGCAGAGATGCTGCCAACTCAGAAACCAGACAAAGTATGGTAAGAGTGTCAGGGATGAAATGATCTAGTACTTTCTGGCCTTGATGTTCTGAGAATAAATCCCATCTCAAAAGCTGCTCTGGCTCATTAGATCACCAACGAAGCTTATTTCAGAGTGCAAAAGATATGAGGGAAATTTCTAGAGCTTCAACCAAATGCACAGTTGTGTGTCCTGTACTCTGACCCAAAAGTCTTTACTCACCTCATTTTCCTCTGAGTCTGTACTGTTGTTTTTCCTCCAGGAAACTCGCTGCCTGGAATTGCTGTGTCTGGATTTCCTCTGTCAGCCTTTCTTTCTCTCTGTTTTTTCTTCTCCCTGTGAGACAGTATGTTCTTTTATTTATTCACCTCAAATCTCTTTCCCTCAGACTTTTCTCCTTTGCTTTACCCCAACTCTGGTTTGTTGTGTTTTCCTTTTCCAACAAGTTATCAGCTAAGACTCCATGGCTTGCATGAAAACTAGCTGCTGGCGCTGGAGTCTCCTTCCTCTTAGGAGCTTCAGTTCTCTTATCTATAAAATCAAGATGGAGTCTGTTTCAATAGGCAAGCAGGTTCTTTAACCTGGAATGTACAGATATACTCCTGGGAGAGGGGGGGATTGAATCCCTTCTGACTCAAGCAGGAATGGTATATATGAAAAAGATTTATGTCTTATACAATATTCCATCTATGAATGTACTACCTGGATCTAATCATGAGGAAATATCAGGCAAGTCCAGAACAGGTGCCATAAAATAAAAGAAGATGGAGACAGTAAAGTAGGCACAAATCTTATAGCCATAGTAAGTGCTAAGGCCTGTTAATGGTACAGGGTAGTGGGAGACAAGATTCTTAAGAAACTAGGCCAGCTGGGTGCCGGTGGCTCATGCCTGTCATCCTAGCTACTCAGGAGGCTGAGATCTGAGCATCGTGGTTCAAAGCCAGCCTGGGCAAGAAAGTCCGTGAGGCTCTTATCTCCAATAAAAAAACCACTAGAAAACCGGAAGTGGTGCTGTGGCTGAAGCGGTAGGGCACTTGCCTTGAGCTGAAGAACACAGGGACAGCACCCAGGCCCAGAGTTCAAGCCCCACAACTGATTTAAAAAAATTAAAAGAAAAGAAAAGAAAAGAAAGAAAAGAAACTGGGGGCTGGGAAGGTGGCTCAGTGGTAGAGCGCTTGCCTTGCATGCCTGAGGCCCTGGGTTCGATTCCTCAGCACCACATAAGAAAAAAGCCGGAAGTGTTGCTGTGGCTTAGGTGGTAGAGCGTTAGCCTTGAGCTGAAGAGCTGAGGGACAGCGCCCAGGCCCAGAGTTCAGGCTCCACGACCGGACCAAAAAAAAAAAAAAAAAAAGAAAAGAAACTGGGTCAGTGGCTCACACCTGTCATCCTAGCTACTCAGGAGGCTGAGATCTGAGGATCGCGGTTCAAAGCCAGCCAGGGGCAGATAAATCCTAGAGACTCTTATCCATATTAACCAGCAAAAAGTTGGTAGCAGATTGCAAGCGCACACATACACACACACACAAACTGTGTCCTGTTTCCTTCCTTCCTTCCACAGGAACTTCCATGTCTGGAACGAGTGCTGGATGATCCGGAACGACCTCCCACCAGGCTACAATGGGTGGCAGGTTCTGGACCCTACTCCTCAGCAAACCAGCAGTGGTGTGTGAGGACTGTGGTGGTAGGGGACAGGCTCCCTGGGAGGCCTACGAAGGTGACTGGACATGTGAGAGTTGTAGTTGTAACCCAGTTGTAGTTTCCGACCTGGGCCTCTCGGTTCTGTCATCCTTACCTGTAAAGTGTTGGAGACGGGGGCCACATAGAGTTACAGAGAGGGTCAGATGAATTAATGGAAACAAAAGAGCTTGGTCTTGGAGGTGGGTACCCCAACAGTGAGGGTCACTAGTGCCACTGTTCATCCTTGTTCTCTACCTCCCACAACTATGGCTAGCCACCCTGCCCCACACCCCATAACTCCTGTTGCCTTCACAGGCATGTTCTGCTGTGGCCCTGCCTCTGTGAGGGCTGTCCGGGAAGGGGATGTCCACTTGGACTATGACACCTCTTTAGTGTTTGCTGAGGTGAATGCTGATGAAGTCATTTGGCTTCTTGAGAAGGGCCAGGCCCAAGAAATCCTTGCCCACGACACCAGTTCCATTGGGAAGGAGATCAGCACCAAAATGGTAGCATCAGACCACCGCCAGGACATCACCAACTCCTACAAGTATCCAGAAGGTACCTGGGCCTAGGATTTGGGGAAGGGTGGGTGTGGCTGCTGGGTGGCTCTGGGTTAAAACCATCACCAGCCAATCACCTCCTCTTCATGAAGATCTCTTAAGGGCTTTCCTAGATGCTGCCCGTGTGGGTGCAGGGGCAGTTTGACACATTTAGGAATATGTAAATAAATTCAGTTAAACAAATGTGACCTATTAAAAAGAATTCACTGCCGGGCGGTGGCTCATACCTGTAATCCTAGCTACTCAGGAGGCTGAGGTCTAAGGATCACAGTTCAAAGCCAGCCCAGGCAGGAAAATCTGACTCTGAGACTCTTATCTACAATAAACCACCAGAAAACTGGAAGTGGCTCAAGTGGTAGAGTGCTAGCCTTGAGCTGAAGAGCTGAGAGAGAGTGCCTAGGTCCAGAGTTCAAGCCTCATGCACCAAAAAGAAAGAATTCACTCTCAGAAACTAAAGTTTAAACAGACATGATTTTCAGTGTATGTTTCATGCAGCATTAAATATGTTGCATCCAATATAACATACCCCAAGTTACTTTTTCTCTGAAGTTCAATTTTCATTGGAGGTCCTGTATATGTGTGTGTATATTTCTTTTTTTGGTGGTCCTGGGGGTTGAACTAGGTAGTTTGAGCCTTATTGCCAGCCTTACTGCTTTAGTTATTTTTCTGATAGGGTTTCAAATATTTTGCCTGGGTCAGGCTTTAACTATGATTTCTCTATATCTACCTCTGATGTGGCTGGGATGACAGACCCACACGTACCATGCCAATTGTTCTTTGAGTTAGGGTCTCACTAACTTTTTGCTCAGGCTGGCCTGAAAACATGAACCCTTCTATCACTTTCCTCCTAAGTAGCTCAGAATCTGGTGAGATCCTGTATGTTATTTGGTTACTCTCTCCCAGGGTAATAGCACTATCTCCCTATGTCCAAAGCAGAGGAGTAACAGGATCGGGAAAGACAGAAACTCAGGAGTGGGAGAGCTCTGGGTCTGTGGGAGAGAGCAAACATCTTCATGGAGAGTCTGAGTGGGGTCAGGCCACCTGAGGGCTAAACAAGGCTCGGCCATGGTCTGGCTGTATAAGCCTTCATGGTCTGACCATCCTCATGCCCCTACTTTCTCCTCTGGGATAACAGTACCCCAAAAGGTTAAGTGAGCTACTACATAGAATACATTGGTTTGTAAGCCAGACACTTGACCTGGGGGAGTCCACAGTTTGTGTAAATTTGGGTTAAGCCTGGATGTTTCGGAGTTCCCAAGGGCAAGAGATGAAAAGGTTGGAACATACGCTTTAGGAGAAAGGATGCCAGTCCGGGAGACAAGCCTCTGGCTCTGAGAAGGAAGAGGGTGACCGTGATGAATACTGGTGCTGAGTGCTTACATTTGGCAATTTACTTAACACAACTGTTTTGGGCATCCTTGTGAAGCAAGCTGATCTCATCCCTGGGTCAAAGATCTGAGTACGGAGCGATGAAGACCGTGATAAACAAGAACCTGAAGCCAGCACTGAGCAGCACTAGTCCTCAGGGTCCTGTCCACCATACCGCCTGGCCGGCTTGCCTCCCTGGGCTGCTAATCACATGGCTGGGAGCCGGACTTCTGGATAACAGCTGGGAGTTGTTTCTGGTCCTCACTCTGATGCCTTTCCCGTGTCTCCCACGCTGTCAGGGTCTCCTGAGGAACGGTCCGTCTTCATGAAGGCATCCAGAACACTGCTGGGACCCCAAAGGGCCTCTTCATCCCTCCTGGATCTCCTGGGGTCCGGGGAGTTTGAGGATCCGCCCGTGCGGCTGCAGCTTCACCTGGCCAGGACGCCGGAGTGGGGCCAGGACGTGCTGTTCATCCTGCATGTCCAGACAGTTCCGGACAGAGCCCACACGCAGGCGCCCATCAGGCTGCTGGTGCACTTCTGCGCGCAGGCCCTGCTGCATGGAGGCGGCGCTCGACCCCCCCTCTGGAGGCAAATGGTGGACTTGAATGTGGATGTTGGGAAGGGTTAGTATGAGGCAGAAACCCAATACACCACATTATACCACACTCACCCCTGGCAGCGACGTGGCTGGCTGTGGGTAGCCATGTGCCCACTGTTGAACCTATGGTATCAGGCCCCCCCGCCCAGGTAAGAGAGCAGTTGAGCTCTGGGGGGCAGTCTATGCACACACACACACACACACACACACACATTTTCTCTCTCCACAAACTGTGTTTCTCATGCTCATATACATATCCCTTCCTTCCGTTTCCTTATTTCCCTACCTCCTTCTCTTTCCCACTTTCTCTTTCTCCCTCCTTTTCATTCCCTACCTCCCTCTCCTCTGACACATTTCCTTGACTCAGGATGATTTTCGCCTATTCTTAGAGATCCAGTCACTACTCCTGCTGCCCTACAGCAATTACAGAGAAAAGCTGACAGACGAGAAGCAGATCCGAGTGTCCGGCATTGCCAAGGTTGAAGGGACAGGGCGAAACATCCTGGTTCTAAAGGACTTCTGTCTGCAGCCCCCTCGCCTGACTATTGAGGTGAGGTCTCTGAGGGAGCTGGTACTTCAGTTCATGACAGGATAGGGACAGGTTTCGGCTCGGTGCCCATTTCTATGTTTGGTAGCTTCCTGGAGTAGTCTGATCTTCTAGAACAGGCCTTAGACATTCTCAGCTCCTGGTCTTCTACCTCAATAGCAGTGCCTTAGCTCTACATAGGGACCCTGGTGGTCACCAGGAGGCAGAGGAGGAAGGTTACTGAGTGGACTACAGAAGTAAGGGCAGATGCCCCCCCCCCCCGTCTTCTCTCCACACAGGTGTCTGAGAAGGCTGTGGTGGGCAAGATCCTGAGAGTCCACATCACTCTTACCAACACCCTCACTGTGGCCCTGGCGAACTGTGTCATGGTACTGGAGGGAAGCGGCCTCCTCAGTGGGCAGATCTCGGAAAAGTAAGTGATGCCACTTGTCTACCTCTTGCTCTGGTGTTTGAGAAGAGGTGTCTCCACTGGTCCACGTCCCCACCCTCCTCAGGGAAGGGAAAGCTTGATGGTGCTGCCAAGTGGGATGGGGAACCCTCCATTCCCCACCCAAGGTTTTTTTCACTTTCAGCTTTGGAACACTGAGCCCCGGGCACACCATCAAAGTTCATCTGGAGCTGTACCCCATCAAAGCTGGACCCCGCCAGCTCCAAGTCCTCATCAGCAGCAATGAGGTCAAGGAGATCAAGGGCTACAAGCGCATCTTTGTTGCTGAAGCTACCACTTCCTGACACCCGCCCTAGCTACCGAGCTGGTGCCGAATGGACAGTGTTTAGGGGGAATCAAACACTGCCTTGCTTCTTTCTATTCTGGAATGGCTTACCTCTGGTCTACGTATGGTCCCGGGGAGGGAATAAAGCTCTGTTTGAACCACTGTGCATCTTCTGAAGAAAGAATGAAAATGTCTTAAAAAATGTACTCAATACCTGACCTATGTAGTTGCAACCCCTCTGTAATAATAAAAATAAATAAATAAAATTAGAAGCAAAAAATAAAGATTTCTTTAAAAAGTGATGTTCTTGCTCTCGTGCTAACAAAATACTTATTGCAACCAACTGGTCCTCTTGGCCTGGCTGTCCAGAAACTCATCTTCCAGGACAGAGAAGATCTCCACCTGTGTACTTCCTGGCGGTCCTTTCTTCTTTAAAGTTGTGACACTTCTATAGGTAAGGTGGAGACAGAAAGACTTGAGAATTTTTCCCTCTCCAGTTTTGGATCAAAGTGTAAAACTCATTTTTTTTCCATTTCTTTGTATGTTGTGACACTTTCTCCATGTGTGTTTGGGTCCAGAATCAGGCTTTACAACTGGGGCTTCCAGTCGTAATTATTAGAAATCAATATATCTCCCTCATAGGTAATTTAGAGAACCCCCAAATCCAGGAAAACAAGTTGTCTCCCTATTCATTCTCAGATGTAAGTCTCCCGCTGCGCGCGCGCGCGCGCACACACACACACACATTTGGCTCCTCTTCCCTCTTCCTTCTCTCCTCTTCCCTTTTTTTCTCCCCTTTCTTCTTCTCTCCTCAATTCCAGCTTTTTTTTGGGGGGGGTCTGGTCGTGGGGCCTGAACTCTAGGCCTGGGTGCTGTCCCTCAGCTCTTCAGCTCAAGGCTAGCGCTCTACCACTTGAGCCACAGCACCACTTCCGACTTTTTTCTTTTTGCTTATGTGGTGCTGAGGAATCGAACCCAGGGCCTCATGCATGCAAGGCAAGCGCTCTACCACTGAGCCACCTTCCCAGCCCTTCACTTCCAGCTTTTACGATTGTTTATCCCCTTAATTCTCATTCTCCTCGCTGGTATTTTTTTCTCTCTTCAGCGGCCCACAGGCTTGAGCCTCTCCAGTCCTCCCCACACCCGGCTTCTGGGAGCAGGAAGAGTATGAGCCTGCACACTCTACTCCACCCAGTGTGTCGGGTATACCTGCCCTCACTGGGGATTTCTGCAGACGCTGTCACTACCCCCATCACTGCTGTCTTCAAAATGGCTCCCTGCCCCCAAGAAGAGTCATCTGTGCTGGCCTTTGCAGAAATGAAGCACCTGCTCCTCTAGACACTGCTCTCTTGTCTTCCTGCCTCTTCTGGAGAGGGCAACAGTGGGCAGGCTGCCTACTGGGCCTCCTGTAAAAGTCACAGTCAACCGAGTTTTCTTGTTTTCACTTGGTCAAGCCCGTCATCTGGCTTTCTTTGTTCCCCCTCCTCCGTTAGATGAGCTAGATCATCTCAAAGTTCCTTCCAGCTCAACAACCCCCAGGCTCAGAGTATGGGGCTCATCCCAACAGCATGGCACCGACAGAGATTAAATCCAAAGAGATCCTCACCTCATCTCACCTCAGCTCACTGGGCCAACCAACAGGGCCAGACAGGGACTCCCACAGGCAAACGAGTCAAATAATATCCAGACAGTGGTAAAAGGAAGCCATGCCGGCCAGGCCTGTGGCATGGCTTCTGACTCGGGTCTTCGCGTTTTCTCTGTGGAATGCACAGAGCCTGTCTGCCTCATGTCCTCTGGACTGATAGTAGTGGAAGCTGTGACCATCATCATTCATGTGCAATAGGAAGCAAGGAACTTTCAACCGCACGGTGAGAGCCGGGATTGCCCCAGGTGTAACAAAGTAAGAATACTCATGGCAGCCCACCTTCCCTAGAGGACGGCTGTGAGGATCAGTGAGAAGTGGATCCTCAACTGCAACACACACACTCACACACGGAAGTCCTCTGAGCATTAATCTCGTCTCCATTTCTGGGGGTGGCAGATCCACGTTGTAATCTGCTTCAGTGAAACCTGGGAGCCAGGGCATCATGGGCAAGGAAACTGGAACTTTCTCAAGGGTGTATCAGAAATCCATTGTAGGATCGGGATTTGCCTCTCAAGTCTGTCTGGGTCTTAGAAAGGTCTGGAGGCCCCTCTACCTCAACCTGACTCAAGTTGGCCTGCTTCATGAGAATGACGTTGTCTACATCTCTAATCAAGTGTCCCTCCTCTGAGGTCACAGCCCTGCTTCTGTCTAGACAGAAAGGTATTCATCAACTCTGCTCCGCTTCCCTGGACCATGGCACACATTGCTCTGATCAGCACTGCCTCCCTACCGCCCCACACCCACCCACACACCCTCTGACGAATGATCTGTAGGAATCCAATGGAAAGCTAAACCTGTAAAGCAGCTCATCAGGCTCAGAGCCCGAGACTTATTTGGCCCCCAGGGTCCAGCCAGAGCAGCCAAGCCAGGTTTTCCTGGCCCTGTGTAGGGTTTTGTGTTCCTGTGGTGCTTCCACGTCCTCTCTCCTGATCCACGCCCACCTTAGTCAAGACTAAGAGTGTCTCCTGACCATGTGAGATCTTCTGCCCTCTACTCCAGCTATGGGGGAAGGCTTAGTGATCTGGGCAGAGATGCTCAGAATTCAGGCCACACGGGCTGGTACGACTCAGGGGTTTTACTCACAGTGGCTGCCTGATGGCTCCAAAAGCCTCTCATCTTTTTCCAGCAGCTCTAGATTGGCTCCAAGGACACTATGTTGTGTCCCTGATTGCTGAGCAATTTCCCCTTTGGCCACTACCCTTCTCCTTACCTGCCTATCCTAACCACGCTCATCTTTCGGTCTCCTCTCACATTAAGAGCCCGCGACTCTTTCCTTTCCCCTTGCTAGCTGTGGTAGTGGGTTTGGGCCTGGATCCCTTTGTACATGCCTGTATCTTCGTTTCACATAGTTACTCCATCAGGCAACACATACAAACTAGAAAGCAGACCAGGTTTTAGCTACAGTACTGCATTAGGCATGGATGTCTGACTGCATTCACAAAAGTTAACTCCTCAGTTCATTATAAAGGATCTTGAGAAAACTAATGTCTGTAAGCCTTGATTTCCCAATCTTTAAGACAGGAACACTACAAATTCCTTTGCTCACAGAGATGTTGTAAGATTAGGAGGGATAGTGCACTTAAAGAAACAGCAAGTGGCACTTAAAAGTTATTACTAGTTGTACTGGGAATTCTACTACCATTAACTACCGTCATTATGAAGCACTGGTGATAAGAAGATTCAAACCATGCCCTCAAGGATCACTTGGAGAAAGATGGTGAGGTATAGTGTAATGCCAAGGAACAAGTGGCTAATAGGGAATGCTGGCGAGCAAGCCCCTAACTGCTAGTCTGAAGGAAAGTGCTGGAAAGTGAGATGATGCTCTTGTATCATGGGGACTGGAGAAAGTAGATGGGGGAGGGAGCAAGCTTTGTGAAAGAAAGCACAGAGATGGGTTGGGAGGACAGAAATCTGCATTAGAGAACTAAAGGGTTTGGCCCTGGACTTGAGATGGGGAGGGGAAAGACCTCCAAGGGCTCTGAGGATGATAGAAACCCCATTGCTGGGTTTTAAGAAGTCTCAAGCAATCTTAAACTGAAAATCCAGGAGAGAGGACAATGCTGGCGTACAAGTCCCTGAATGAAAAGGATCCAGCAGGAAAGAAGATGTAGGAGGTTAGGCACCCATGGCTCACGCCTGTAATCCCAGCTACTCAGGAGGCTGAGATCTGAGGATCACAGTTGGAAGCCAGTCCAGGCAGGAAAGTCTGAGACCTTTATCTCCAATTAACTACTCAAAACAAACAAAAAACAGAAGGAGAGCTATGGTTCAAGTGGAGGAGCACTAGCTATGAGTAAAAAAGCTCATGGACAAGTGCCCAGGCCCTGAGTTCAAGCTCTGGGATTGGTATGCAGGAAGTGCTTCACAGCAGGAAAGGCAGGGTACAGGGGAGTACATGGAAGTCCCGCCCTCCATGTAGGACCCTCAGCTCCCCCACTACCCCACCCCCCTCCCTGCCCCTTTCTCCTTCCTGTGCTTTGCTCCTTATGCGTGCACTCCAGGGACTTACCCCTTTCTAAGTAGGACAAAATCCTTGCTCTAGCCTCTCATCTATCTCTAGAACTCCTACATGGATCTTCTCAGTGTTTCTTCCTTCTACTGTTTTTATTAGAAATTCACCAGGAACCTGGAACTCCTCACCAAAACCAGGGCCCCTTCCAATAAAATGAAAACCATAGAGTCATATAGGCTGGGTTCTATTGGTATGTTTTTCTTGGCAGGATTAAGGTTTGAACTCAAGGCCTTGGACCTGCTAGGCCAGTGTTCCACACCTTGAGGCACGCCACCAGCCCTTTTTGCCTTCATTGTTTTTCAGGTTGAGCTGCCCATTTTTGCTGGGAGACCGCCTTGGACAGTGATCCTCTTATCTCAGCCTCCCACATCGCTGGAATCACAAGTGTGTCACCATGTTCAGATTATCGATGGAGATGGAATTTTGCTAATTTCTTTTTTGGCCTGGGCTGATTACTAATCTCTACTTCTCAAGTAGCTCAAGAGCTACTTTGCCCTACTTGGTTTCCATTTAATGTCCACCAAGTAACTCTTCCGGAACAAATGACGATCTCGGGTTCAGAGCTGGCTCTGCAGTCTCTCAAGGCTCTTGTTTGGAGCAATAGTCATGGAAGCCTCATGCTTCTTCCTACAGGGGCACAGCTCACTTTGGATCTCTTTGGGAGTCCCCTAAGTTCCTCTCTCCCTATGGCTTCCCTCTCCACAGCACAATACCCGCCAGGAAATGCCCTCTTGCCCAAGAGCTAATCAAAGGCTCACCTGGCACAGAGCCCTGATGGTTCCTCAGCATCCACACCTCTCTCAGCTGAGCAACACCGCCAAGAAAAACCAGAGGGCAGGTGAGAAAACCAGTTGTGATCTGC